GATTATTAGTTGACTGATGATGAGGTGCTTAGAGGTCAAACGTCGTTCACAGCAACCCGTTCTGCTGATTCTTGGAATGTCTGCTGCGATCCCCTAGAGCTTGATGTTAAATTGATCAATTTGATTTTTCATTGACAAAATTTATTGTAGGCTCGACAATCAACTAGGAAAATTGTCTGATCGGTCTTAAATCTATTGTACATATGCCGATTTCGGTCTTAAACTTTTTGATTTTGTCAATTCGGTCATGAACCTTTGGGTAAAATTCCATTATGGTTCTCCTGATCAATTTTTGCCAGAAAATCGCAAATGTGATGGTGTGCCACGTAGAATGGCCAGCGATGACCGGACCGCCGCGTCAGTGATTTCCAAAGATTACATTGAAATTTCGTATAAAAGTTTGTGACTAAAATGGCAAAAATAAAAAGTTTAAGGTTAAATTTACATTTATATAATAGGTTTATAATCGATTTCCCTGATTAACTAGTCGAGTTTTACATTTTTCTTTCATTCATTTTTGTAATTATGCGGTTCGTGTTGATCGAGTTATGTAATACGTCCTATCATAGTAATCCCACGTGCCCATGTACGAATTCCGGGCCATTTGGCAAAAAGAGGAAGACAGAAACTTGGGTCATCAGATGATTAAGGATCGTTCCGTTGGGATCGATATTTCATCACTCAATTTTTTTTTTACTCGTGAACTTCTCCACACATTCCAGTCCTACCTAATTCTATCATTGACAGTAAGTTTAGCCCACACATCTTGGAATGGTACCAAAAGAAGGTAGATAATTCATGCTCTAATAACTTCGACGCGAACTTCCGAATGTCCTAAAAAAATAAACACGGGCTTATGTCGAAGAACAATGTTCGACCCATTTTAACTTGTCAATGGACGGAACGCTTAGAAACAAATACAGTGACATATCGTTCAGTGACATACCGAAGCAATAGCAAGTTTGGTAGGATAATCTGAATGATGGTTGTTCGATTCATCCCGACGGTTATCAGATGATCCGAGTCCCCTAAACGACGTCCTTTTGTACGCTCTAGATGCAAGCAGGCACAATCCGTCACGTCCGTCGATACACATCGGCAATTCAATGGGATTCATACACCAGAGAGGTTATGAAAGCCGAAGTTGCTCCACGGGCTAGCTTATGCCTTTATTTTTCTGGAGATGTCTAAAGTGTAGGACAAGATTGTCGCGCAATCTTCTTCACGTGGACCACTTTTCTTCAAAAGTCATGGCCATTTGCACTGTCACACTCCCTGCGCTTCAAATACGGTACCTTTCTTTTCCTCCAAATCGTGATAGCTTGGCCGAGCTAACAGTCAACGCCGTTGACTCAGCTAACTAATGAGAAAGTTCTTTGCGCTTGCCCTATCAATCATTGCAGCTCATTGTAGGGGTGTGAAACCAAACCGGATTAATTACCCGGAACCAAACCGGTCCATCCGAAAAATAGGTCTGGGAATCGGTTCCCGTTTGAACTAGTCCCGGAACCGATTCCATTTTTTGGGAACCGGTTAGAACCGATCCGGTTTTCGGTTCCAAGTCAAAACTCACCCGGACCGGCTTTAGAACCGGTTTTATATGGAGGTTCACTTGCAATTTTATATTGTCATAATTCAAAGCATTACATCAAGAAGGATGAAGGAGGTAATCATTAGTTGCGGATAATCTAACTCAAGGGCTTGTAAGCATCATAGGAAGCAATTTCCTTTTTAACGAATAAATTACATATCCAATTGGAACATATGCTATTTTATCATGTCCATTAAATTATTGGGACTAAGATAATCTACTTTAGTATGAATACTTAAGATTGTTTGCACGGTCAAACTTATAACCTTTGATTTGAGTTATAAGGTTATAAGTTTTCCTATTTGCTACCTGAAAAAAAAAAATGAGTTCTCAGGTAGACCCTAGCTAGAATCGGATCGAAAAAACACGATAGATTCCAAAACAGGGTCCAGGGCAAACATGATAGGTTCCAAAAACTAAAAACCAGTTATAATAGGGTCGGTTATAGGTTCCAGGTCTGGAACTAACCCTCCCTGGAACTTCTCACTGACATTGGAGAAGTGACATATCCATTCATATGCTTAGTCATTATCATATTCCTAAAATAGCTAAAAATTTCGGGATTGGGATTTCTTTTCTTTTCTTTTCTTTTCTTGCTGTAAATTTTTTCTGGGTTCTCGTGAACGAGTGCTTTTCTGACGCTTGTTAAGCATGCTAAATTATGAATGTTTCAATTTTCGATATTATGATTGCATATAGCACAAGGAAAACGATGCATTGAATACGGTGAACTTTTCTTAATTACTAATTCACAAGGCTCCTGGAATCTTCCCTATTCGCAGCTCAGGTATGCCGCTAAAAGTCGCTTATTGAGAAAAAATAAGTCGCCATCGATCAATCTATTTTGAAGGTTGATTAGGAACCTTTAATTTAATGATTAGCGAAAACGAAAAACTGACCACCCCTGCAAAAAAAAAAGCAAATTCAAATAAATTTGCATTTACACGAGGGACGAACACTTCCCACAATGCCCTTTCGATACCGTAGCTCTTTGATTTGGTTTGAAAAGTTAGGTTTTGAAAGTTTGGGTTAATACTACGAAAAACCCCAAACTGGTACACATGTGACAAATTTATCTCAAACTAATTTTTGGACCATCAAAAACCCCAAATTAGTACACATGTGATAAATTTACCGTTCGTTAGTTTCCATTAAATTTTATCGTCAAATTACTGAGTTTGATGACACGTGACAGTTAGCGGATGCATCAATTGGAGGTTTTAGCTCCGTTTGTCACAATTGTACCGGTTTGTGATTTTTTGTGATATTAATCTAATTCAACGGAAACTAATGGAGAGTAAATTTGTCACAAATATACTAATTTGGGGTAAATTTATCACAGGTGTACCAGTTTGATTTTTTCAGTGGTCAAAAAATTAGTTTTGGATAAATTTGTCACAGTCATACAAGTTTGGGGTTTTCCGTGGTATTAACCCTAAACGTTTTTCTCAAATCGAGTAACGAAGGAATTTTATCCGGAAAGAGGAACGAAATTTTGCCAAAATTACTATGTGGTGATGCTATCAATAAACGAAAATAGTTATTAGTGACATGGCACGACTCCTCAATGTGTGAAGGTGTCAAATTTTGGAAAAAGAAAAACACAAAAACGTGGCGTGTTACCCATCCATCGGTGGCCGCGTTGATTTGCGCTCAGTTCCTTTCACGAGAGGTCCTGGGTTCAAACTCGCCCATCGGTAATTTAAGTGGGGGGTCGTGGCGGTGGGATGCTGCGCTAGCCCCCCTCGAGGACTAGTCGGACATCACCGCTGGTTTGAGCCCTAGCTCACCGGCCGCGCGGACACCTCGATTATCAAAAAAAAAAAAAAGACGTGGCGTGGCGTGTTGATGACATGGGAAGTGTAAAATGATATGTCGACGTGGAAAATAGAAATGATGACAAATTGTGACGAGGTACATGATGGCATGGCGAGGACATGTGATGATGTATAAGCATATGCAATGACCTGACGAGAAGACAAACAAAAATGACGTGGCGTGAAGAGAGATGAGCGAGACAACTCAGGAGCATGCATGATGACGTGGCAAGGAGGCGACTAAAATGATGTGGCGACATGATCCTATGAACATCATGATGTTGCAAAAGAGACGATTAAAATGACATGCGAAATGATGTATCGACGCGCATAATGACATAGCTAGATAGAATTTATTATGATGACCTGGCAAAATGACATGCATGACGATGACATGGAATGATGAAAAAATAATAACAAGTGGAATCGATAAATAAATTACGAAAGACAATTTCGGAAGATTGATAAATGTTAAATGTAGTTGTTTCGTTTGAGTCATTTTTATATAGTTTAAAGACTAGATTGAATATTGGGCCAAAATTATAGGATCACATTGAAAAATAAAATATTCAGGGATGACATTGCACATTAGGCTAAAATTATAGGACCGCATTGAACAAATTAAAAGTTCATAGACGATATTACAAATTGAACCAAAGATCGGGGATGGTTTGCGTCATTTTTGTCAAAAAGAGTTTGAACGAGACCGATGGTATCTTCCTCATCAGATGTCTAACCGACCTGGTTGTCATTACATTGGGATGCTTGTGTTGGTACTCCTAGTTTCATAACGTGTGCTCGAAATCGGGAAATTGCAAACTTCCTGGTACTTCGAAAAAGGGGCGACGGGCCTAAAGGATAAGAAAATTTGACCGTCGGATGCCAATGACAATGTGAGTATAAAATGACTTGATTTAACGAGTACAATCCATTATTATATTGAAAAGTGGTTTCGTGCCCTATCACTTGTCTATTGAACTTTAGTCAATCCTAGATCAATTGATCAATTTTTTTGGTGAAAGCAAGACAAAATTCGAGATAGAGGACGATACGCATCTAAACACACATCAACTATTTTTTTTTCCCTAAATTGGGTTAAATATGGACGTGTTTTAGCAATATGGGTCATGTTAGGTATGAGCTGAATCGGGTATTGGTCACTAGATTTATATAACATGGAAATCGATCAAAACGGCTTAAATGGGTCAATTTGGATCGAATCATTTTCGACCCGACCCGACCCGACCCGACCCGACCCATTCGACCTGGTTTAGAGGGCGGGTCTACACCTGTTTCTCAGTGGCTAATTATTTCAAACAATACGATCGATCGCTTTTTCGAAAAACGTCTTTCCAAATTATTCATCGTTCCCGAAACAAACGGAACTTAAATTACGGGTTTATTTCCCTAGCAACCTACGATTTTTCTCGACTAGCATGCTAGAAAGTTGGATGACAATGCATGGTGGGTTACATTACGCATGGGATGAACGTGCGGCGTGATCTATTTATTTTGTTATACCAGAAAGACGCAGGTAGGTGGTGGGGTTAACTAACTTTCTTTGTCTCCCCCCAACCGTATTTATCATCGTTTGTGTCCGAGACAGCAACGCCGGATTCGAACAAGGCATTGGACAGTCGCAACTTCGACAGCTCGAGGGCGACATTCCGGCGTCCGGAGAAGAGAAAGGAAAAGGAAGGAAGGGAAGGCGATGGCCCGGGATGCGGCAGCGGCCGGTGGAGGAGGAGGAGGAGGACACGGTCCGTCCGTCGGAAGAGGTTGCGGCACGAGCGCCTTCGTGGCGCTCTGCTCGTACATCGTCCTCCTCCTCCTCCTGATCTTCTCCGGCGCCGCCTCCTCCTTCAACGTCGTCAAGAACTTGCCGGGCTACGACGGCGATCTCCCCTTCTATCTCGAAACCGGGTGAGCATCTCTCTCTCTCTCTCTCTACGTTTTTTCGAGGAGCACGTGAGGCCCTGTATTTTCTCTTTTTGGCGTCGAACCATCTTTTCTTTTGGGTCGAACGAGCGTTAGAACCCCGTGTGATTTTGTTAACGAGAGTGCCTAAACGCCTAACTGAGAAAACTTTTGCAAATTTCTAATGCATCGACCATTGTCGTGTTTCGTTCGACTAACACTTTGAAAGTCGAAATTTTCCAACTTCGATATACTTAACAAGTGCCTCGACAAGACCCCTTTTCGGGACTTTAGAATATATTTGAAATGTATGCTTAATAAGGTCACACAAAGCACGAGCTAAACACTATATCGAAAGCCACAAAGTCTATGTCGTTTTTGTCACTCGACGAGCGTTCTATTCTTGTTGTTCTTTTCAGAATTCTTTAGCATTAGACGTTGATGACTGATGATGTTTTACCTACTTTGATGTTTTTTTGGGTGGCGTGTGAAGATACATAGGCGTAGGAGAATCGAACGAGTCGCAGCTGTTCTACTACTTCGTGGAGTCGCAGCGGTCGCCGTCGCAGGACCCGCTGATGCTGTGGCTCACCGGAGGGCCCGGTTGCTCCGTCCTCTCCGCTTTCCTCTACGAAGGAGGTAATCACCGATCGCACCGATCTTGTTCTTTCGGTTAGCGGCTTTAAGATGTGATAAGTTCGAATCGCCTGCTCGATAAGCCCGAACCACGCATCGATGCATCTACATCAAACGCTCTGTTAAACTTGACTAATGGGAGGGCCAGGCCTAAATGTTCCCTTGTTTGGGCTGGCCAATGATTTGACACAAATAAGTTTCATTACGAAAATTATCGGGGTCCGGCGGGCCCAATTAGATGCCCCGGATCCGAAGAAGGAAATTGCTTGTCCAGATCCGACCCCGATCCATGCTTCGGGCGGCGTCGTCGTCTCGGGTGTGTCCCAAAGGGTCACGAGGACTATAATCGAAGTCTTACTCTGTGTAGGATTGTTTCCCCAAGCAATAGTATTAGCCCTTCTTAAAGTGATGAAAATGATTGAGCAGGTCCGCTGGGCTTCACTTACGTGGGATACAACGGGAGCATACCATCGCTTCATCAGAACCCATACGCATGGACACAGGTTCCTACTTCTCTTTTTCACCTCCCCTGATGACCATTCTCATTAAATTTCTCCGAGGACTTAAGTTTCGTTCCGACATCGTTCGGCACATTGCCGCGCCCGTTCTTACACGGCGAGATCGATTCCTGCAGGGCCTCAACATGTTGTTCGTGGACGCGCCGGTTGGAACCGGGTTCTCTTACTCCACGACCCCCGAAAACTACTATACAGACGACTACAAATCCGTGAATGAGACGTATGAATTCCTGCAAAAGGTAATGTGTGCGTCGGGACTGTTAGATGAAACGATTCCAATGTCAATTCGTCTCCAAAAGTGCTACAATCCTATAAGCATGAATCGAGCTGATCCACAATTACTGTCGTTCTTGTTATTCTCCACTCTTGTGCAGTTTTTGCTCAGTCATCCTCAATTTATTGAGAACATGCTCTACGTCGGCGGGGACTCGTACTCGGGCATACCTCTTCCGATCATCGTCCAGAAGATATTCGACGGTAATTCCGTGCTCCTTAAGTTAGTTTTGTTCGTCTCGAGTGGACGACTTCTTCGTCTCGAATTAAAGTTTGGGTCGATTTTAGCCGACTTCATTTCCCGGCTCTTTCTGCAGGAAGCTTGAATGGTGACGAGCCATCTATGAATCTCAAAGTAAGTGTGTCTATTGCCCAACCTTTCTCGTTGAGCTTATATACTTCAGACTAGGCAAATCGCTTCTGCTCTTGTCGAACTATTAGATAGACGACAAGAGAGAACCTCTGGTATCATCTGAAAAATAAGATCTGGAGTGGAGTTGTTTATGCTAAGCAACCCCTGCATTTTTGGAGGCCTTATCTTTGTTTTGACAGAGTGAATTGGGTTTGTGGACAGGGGTATGTGCTCGGGAACCCGAAGACAGATGATTTTATCGATGATAACTCGAGAATTCCGTTCGCTCACCGAGTGGCGCTCGTATCAGACGAGCTCTTCGCCGTGAGTCTCTCACCTCGCCCTTTTTATCGAGAGCCCTCGGAGCACACTTTATTATCTGCTGAAATAGTATCTTTAGTTCAGTAGAGTTAGATGGAAGCCGTAGTGACGGCATTGATAGAGGATGACATTATGCTCTTGCATTGCACACCATCACAGTGATTGTTGATAAGCGGAACACTGTTCGGAATTTCCAAAGTATACTGCATGAATTACCTAGTACCTTTGTTACTAAGAACTGCGTTTTACCGTCAGACGTGATTGCGCATCCTGAAATTGTAGTTTTCTGTTAAATCAGGACGCTATGCAAGCTTGCGACGCGAATTATGTCGATGTGGATGCTAACAACACGGAATGTTTGGAGGACATCACGGAGATTGATGCGGTGAGAAGAGACAATCCATAACTAAATTTTCATCACAAGTCATGCGAACTGTCGTATAAACTCCGAACTCCTCCTTGACTAACCATGACCTGTTTCTGCAAAACCTTCAGTTACTCCTGCAAATAAATCTCATGCAAATTCTGGAACCGAACTGTCAAACCGCGTATTCAAGACCGGTCGAAGCAAATAGAGGAAACAGAAGGATTCTCGAAGATAACTACGAAGGCTTTCTTGCTGCGCAGCCTAATCCCGCGCTTTGGTGTCGGGTATCTCTCTCTCTCTCTCTCTGAAAAATGCATTATAGTTCATTGTCTGTGTTAATTGACTATAGAACATGTACTCACTCACTTCAGGAGTATAACTATGTACTGGCTGGCGTATGGGCCAACAATGAGGATGTCCGAGCTGCCCTCGGTATTCGAGAGGTATGGTGATACTAAACTTCAACTCCACCTTACATGTTCACGACTCCAATGCGCGGGCGCGCGCGCGTTTCTGATGAACGGTGACATCCTTTTTGACAGGGCACAAAGGGTGTTTGGAAGAGATGCAACAGCAGTCTAGCATACACAAAGTCGGTCTCGAGCAGCGTCCCTTATCACAAAAATCTCAGTAACACGAACCTCCGAGCCCTTATCTACAGGTGAGAGCGAGAGACCTAATCGCTTTGTGCACCGCGCGCGCGCGCGTGTTTATACATGTACCGTTCGTAGATAAAGAGATACGTTAGATGGACCTTCATCCTTGGAAGTTCTCAGTATACAATCCGCCCGCCATATTCGCAGCTAAACATGTAAAGAGCTCAGGACGCTACCGGAGATAATACAGAATCAGCCTAATACTTGAAATGCTCGTCATAGTACATCTACAATGCCATGCTATTAGCGCATTTCAGGTCTTCCCATATTGAATAGAGACGTATCGGAACGGAAAATCGAAATGGGGGCTCGGAAATTCGACTGTTTCTACTCGGCGAGAATCCTAACACGGCTTCCTTCGCGCTCTTCGTTTCGCAGTGGCGACCACGACATGTCCGTCACCTACCTCGGCACGCACTTTTGGATTTTCTCTCTCAATCTCACTCTGTCGGACGCTTGGAGGGCGTGGTACGTCAACGGCCAAGTCGCCGGGTAAGCCTTTCCTCTCCCGCTGTCGTAATTCTCTCAGTTCCATGTCGCTGCGCGACTCCCAGATTTCACTAACCGGAAGATCACGATGTCTTCTTCTAACCAGATATACAGAAGAGTTCACCCACAACCAGTACACCCTGTATTTCGCTACCGTGAAGGTAACCGAGCTACGTTCCCGTTAGTGTTTCGAGTCCTCGGTCGACGGTCGCCGGTCGCGTACCGTACGAGCTTGTTATTCACATCGAAAATCGCGTTGCAGGGCGCAGGGCACGTCGCGCCGGAGTATAAGGCGAGGGAATGCTACGAGATGCTGGACCGGTGGCTTGCTTATTTCTACTTGTGATCCGAAGGGGGCGGTTCGAGCCGGCATGGTCCGAGTCCGAGGCGAATCCGGGGGGCTACGAGTCGAGACTAGGAGCGCGATTTATAAGGTTCGGTCGCCGAACTTTTAGGGAGTTTTTCGAGGATCGAACATTTACCAAACGTGTACGGTAACCTCGGATTAGTTTGCGTTGATTGAAGAGGAATGAAATTGGTATCAGAACTCTGGAATAAAACTTCTTACGATGATCAGAACTTTGTGTTGTAGTGCTATTGAGAGGATTGCTTCCCACTAGGTAGATCCTGCGTGTTTGTTTATGCAGGAAATGGTTGATACCACGGAAAAATCCTAAACCGATACATATTTGACCCACCAAAAATCTTAAACGGGTACATTTGTAATAAATTTTACCATCCGTTAATTTCCGTTAAATAGGATATCTATCACGAAAAACCACAAACCGGTACACTTATGACAAGCGGGGGTTAAAACCATAAACTGATACAATTGTGACGAACGGAGGGTAACTGTCACGTGTCATTCAACTCGAGAATTTGATAGTAAAATTTAACGGAGGGTAAATTTGTCACGGATATACCAGTTTGGAGTTTAGTTTTTGGTAAATTTATCACAGATACCATTTTTGGGTTTTTTCGTAATATTGACCGTATATGAAATGGAATAAAATGAGGGAAATTTGTCGTATCCTATGTCACGTTCGGCTGACATTAGAGATACCATGTTGGATATAATTATGGAATGAGCAAAGTAATTCAATTATTAAAAAAAAATCAATTAAAAAGTCGAAAGAATGAAGAAAGAAATATGAATAAAATAACTGAGAGGGTCTCTATGGGTAGAAGACCACCGCAAGGCACCGCCATCGGGTTGGTTGCCTCTGTCTCGTTGATCTCGGGCGGCGATCGGATCGATAAGTTCGAAGATCGGATCGCCGGCAAACACCGCCATGATGGTTACCTACTAATGGCGAGAATCATCGCCGGGTGTGGCGACCAGCAAAGGCGGGCGTCGCAATAGTGATCTCACTCTTATCTTGACGGCCCGGGTAATCGGGCACCTCGGAAATGAAGAGAGAGAGAGACTTGAGGAGAGGGAGCGTGAAATCTCACGCGAGCACCGCCGTTACGGTAGTCACCCAAGATGTGAGACCACCTCTACGGGGTCGCTCGAGCGATGGGGACCCTTGCGCGACAGTCACCGGGAGGGGCCATCAGGAGCGCTAGCTGCCGCTCTGCTAGCTGCCAACGTTAGCCTTCCTTCCTTCTTTCTTTTAGGCTCCGTTTTTTTTCTCGGAAAACATTTCCGGTGTTTGGTTCGCTTAGAAAAACGAGTCAACGAATATTCTATATTTGAATTCAAAAAAATGATTTCCTCTTAAAAAATCAAAAATCATTTTGCAACATATAATTAAGTATCAACACTTATGCCCGAAACTCTATATTTAGATAAGCAAACCCCAATGTTGGTTCACGGGTCCCCAACATCCTAAGATCAAGTCTCTAGCGCCTGAACTCGGGTCCATCAAGGTTGGGCCCGTAACCCCGGTGCCCGTTCTCGGATCCTCAGCGCTCTTGTCCTAGCCGAGTCCATCAAGGTGGAGCTCGAGACCTCGGTGCCCATGCCTGAGCCCCCAACGCCCGAGTCCGGGTCCTTGGTCCATCGAGGCCAAGCCCGAAGCCTTGGCGACCCTGCCTGATGGCCCGACACCCGAGCCCGGATCCATAAAGATTGTGCTTGGATCCATTAAGGATCTCGGAACCCGTGCTTAGGTCCATCGAGGCCGAGCATAAGACCCGGTTGCCTTTTTTTTTTTTGTTTTTTGTGAAACAAACCGGCCCTTAATTTTCATTTTTACCGTGAAGATAAGATAAAACCCCGGACAAGTTATCCATAAGAAAGCGAAAACGGTCTTGAGCCCCCCCGCTCGCATCGACCGCCGTTCGTCCGGTTCACTTCACTTCACAGTTCCGACCATGGCTGGACACTTCCCGAACCGGCCCTCCCCAGAAACCCCAGAAGAGGCGACGAAACCCTAGAAGGCTCCCCTCGCCCATTCCTCCTTCCCTATTCCCATGGCCGACCGCGACCGAGCTCGCGATTGGGATCGCGACCGCGACCGAGACCGCGACCGCGACCGGAGGCGAGACAAGGACGGCGACCGCGACCTCCGCGACCGCGACCGAGACCGAGACCGAGACCGAGAGCGTCGCGGCAAGCGCTCGCGCACGCCCGACCACGCCAGGTCCCGCCACGCGCGATCACGGACGCGGTCCCCCGACAGGTACCGCTCCCGCACCCCGGAGGACCGGGCCCACCGCCGCCACCGCAACCGGGGCAGCCCCTCGCCGGAGCCCGGGCGGAAGCGCCACCGCCGGGAGTCGCCCGAGAGGGACGACAGGGACCGGGAGAGGGAGCGGCTGAGGGCGGTGTCGGACTTCGTCGACGGGATCGTGAAGGAGCAGCAGCAGAGCAAGAAGGGGAAGGACGGGGCCGCCGGCGCGGGAGCGGAGGCGGAGGCGGAGGCGGGTGCGGGTGCGGGTGCGGGGGACGATGAGGTGGAGATGATGAAGAAGTTGGGGATTCCGGTCGGGTTCGACTCGACGAAGGGGAAGCCGGTGCCGGGAGCGGACGTGAGCGGGGTTAGGCCGGTGACGAAGCGGCAGCCGCGGCAGTACATGAACAGGAGGGGAGGGTTCAATCGGCCGCTGCCGGCGGAAAGGAACCGATAAGCTCGATTTTAGAAGAATTCAAGGTGCCTATCTTCTCCTTTACTGTTGGGTTTGAGCCTGGCATGCTTGTCGTTCTGTTTCATAGCTATCCAGCTTCCTTTCCTCAAAGAAGGAAGTTCATGGTCTTTTACTAGATGCGATCGTAATGGCTTCCTTGACTATCTTAGCTATGTCCTTGTATATCCAGTGGTCTCTTTCATTTTGTGATACTTGGTCTTTGCTCTGTTAGAGACTCAGGTAACTGTAGAAAGCTATGAAGTTGTGTTCATTCTGGCTAGTCTTAGTTATTTGACATCCATCGAGCACAAAATCAAGGATAACGATGCCAATCGGCTGAAGCAGGGATTTGATATAATGAACTCTATTCTGAGTTTAAAACTGCGGCTGGCGCTGGTTAAAATAAAGATAGTATGGAGTCGATGTGTGTAAGATAAATTGAGGGAAATTGACTGATCAAGAGGACAGTTTCTTTCTTGTATTTCAAATCATCCTATTTAGGAGGGACTTAAAAGGTGCACTGGAGTGTGTGTGGTTGGGAAGATCTGGTTTGTGGCATAGGAAATCTTTCTGGTTCAAAATTGTTCTGGTCGTCTTGCTGCTCTTTGGCTTCATCATGGTTGCAGTCATTTCCTTTTGCGACGACGTGTATGTTGTTTAGTTCAAGCCCTGAAATGCAGCTGACCAGACTGTGTTTGCTCCATATTGTTAGAGATCGTGTTTTCTGAAGAGACTCCTTATTCTGTGTAGAAATCGGAGTTTTCTCATTAACCACTTCTTCAAGTTTGAGTCAGTCAATTGGCATTTGTTGAAGTGTGTTTATTGCCAGTTTTCATACTTACTGGAATGCTTGGTTTGGTCATAAGTTTGAATCACGTGCTAATGACTGACTTCATGTTTTATTCTTACTAAATGTGCCTTTTGACTCGAACTCCTAATATGATGTATGGCTCAGTTCCAGAACCTTGTGTAAGGAATGTGCGAGGACTTCAAAGTCCTGCATCCCTTTTTTAAAATGTCATCCATGCATCATTCCTTTATTCCGGAAACCAATTTAACCTGGTTACCCCAGGTTCAATTAGATTTTGACCACTCAAGTTTCATCAGTCTGAAACTGGACAGGACCATGCTTAAACAGTTGAACTTCTTGTTCTAGTTCCATTTTTTGAAACACTGACAAAAACCAAGATGAATTTGCTTTTCCCCCATGTGCTGCATATTGTTGGATGGAGAACTCATGTTCCCCAAGTCATGCTATTTTAGAGGACATATCTCTACTGCAATCATGATCACTTGCTAATTATCTTTCTGGAGGTAAAACAAATGACCCTGAAGTTTGTTGAACTAGATACCTCACCAATTTAGGCCTTAGTCTCTTCCACAACATATTGGCACTGTCAGAATGCAAAATTTTTTTCCAATGTACTCTTTATGTCTTCCAGTGTGCTGCTGGCATAGTGCCATTCCTGCATACTCAGGATTAATGGCAAGACTTGTCTCACTATGCAGTTGAATTCAGGGCCATGTTCAAGTCGAGGAATAATGACTTTTCCTAATGTGAAAATTGTAACATAAGAAACATGTTTCTTGTGTGATTAGATGTATAGATAGTTGGATCTGGTACTTGCAATTGGTATCTCAGATATGATCGAGAAAGTTTCGTCCTTGATTATCACTAAAATTGGTGATGTTGTTTTATGTGCGTGAGCGTGAGCGTGGCATGGAAAGTCTTAGCATGTCCACATTGAATCTTTAATATGCTGTTGAACATGTTTTCTCAATAAGTAATAAAGGACTTTATTGGTAGAGCAATTTTAATGTCAGAAAGAAAACGAAACGAAAAACTAACCAAAAAAAAATAAAGAAGCACCGGACTAGGTGGAATCAGAGCACTATGCTTGTGAGCACCGAAAAATACAAGAACATTTACAGGGCTCGTGATGCGAATTACTACTTGTCAATCTTTCAAGATTTTGAAATGCTATTTCAGTATTCTTAGGGAGTGAACTGTTTTCTCAGGTCAATTCAGAAGGACTCTACATGCGTAGAATTCATCGGCAAAGTTATACTTGAAAACCTTCCAGTTTACATGCTTCAAATTCGGCAGGGAGGATGGGGGTTTCATTTTCGGCCTTCTGTACCTGATTTTGAAAAGTGTTTCTAGTTATGTAGACCTCAGCAGTTGTTATTGGGTAGTAATCTCTCTTGCTTTGCTAAGAAATGACAAACAGTAATTTGTCTTGACCAGAGAATGAGGCGCTGTTGACACCATCTGATTATTCCCCGGGATGTACCCCCAGCAATTATCTGAACAAAGCTGCAGGACAGCAAGGGAAAACACTTTCATGTAGTTAGATATAGTGATCTGTCATCGAAGTTGAAGTGTCTTATTTTACTTTGCAGGTCTTTCCTGTGGTAATTTGATAGATTGATAATCTATTGTGTGACTGGTTTACTGCATCATATATCAAAACCGCTAAACGAAATTATTTACATTGTTTCCGTGATAAATCTTGATTTTGTTCAGAAGCTAGTAGGGTGTTCATGCTTTTGATGATATATAAATTGTTTGAATTTAAACATCACATTGGATCTGGTCTAATTACTTGGGAGCTAGTTTTAGTACTAGGTCGACCGGTCAAAAAGGGTCACAAGCCCGTATATTAACTCAGATTTAATCTAATGGATTATATATGGGGCCATTCAAACTTGAAATATGGGTCACAATCGATTCTAAAACAAAAAGCCCAAAATAAATGGGTTTTAATGGGGTCTGTAACGAACCCATTTTCAACCCACTTACGCTCAGCCTTTGTGGAGCTCGCTCCTATTCGCGACGCTGTTTCAGACATTCTCTTTGGTACCTTCGCTGTCTAGCGTGTCTTGCTCCAACCCGTCCACCTCCATCCTCACCTCGTAGCGAGCCCTGCACTGGACCATGAGCTCCTCCATGAGAGCCCAATAGTGGTCCCGGAAGCAACTCGAGAGCTGCTCGAGGTGGTGAGACCACGGCCTCCGGACCTCAGGGTATGTAAGGTAGGAGGCACGTGAGAGAATTAGGTTCTCGTGAGCAAGAGCGAGGGGTTGTCGGCAAATGCGCTGGTGGGGGCAGCGGCGGTGCAGAGACTAGGATTTTGGAGGTCCGACCGGGGAAAATAAGTGTTTTTGAGGGGTTTTGAAGGGTAGGGATGATTGCGCTTTGTGGTTGAAGTAGACAGAGAACCGTGAAGCAGAGTGACTGTGATAGTTGAGAGAGATTGTGATAATTGAGAGAACGAGAATCTGCAGAGGAAAGTAGAGGAGGAAGAGAAAGGTTGACGAGAGAAGAAGAAGAAATTTGACCGTCGCGGTAACAACCAAATATTTGACTGTATTGATTCTAAATCCGAGGAAATTCGGCACATTGACTCTTCTAATGCTTTTAGCGGCCATTGTTTTCTGTCTCTTCAATTATTATAATAAATAAGCATTTTATTGAAATAGAAGAAAGTTTTACATTGAGTACCCATGAACTATGTACATATACATCCGAAAGTTACAAAAAAAAAAAAGCAAAATAAAAGGCCTAATCAAATAAAAGAAACTGTTCTTTTTCTGTGGAAGAATGTAGAACAAGGCTGATCAACTTTTGCTGATTTGATTCCAAGCCTTCAAAATCCTCATGTTCCTTCCAAGCCTTAAGTTTCGCATATTAAATAATGGGAGGAATTCGAAGTTTTCTTGGTGTTTTTGATTCCTCTATGCCATTTCCATTAAGAATCATCTCTGTCCCGTTGGTTAGCACGACCCAGGTGATTCCATCTTTGTTGAACCTTAGTCTGAATAGCAAAAGACACCTGACAGTGAATAGCAAGATGATCAACTGGCTGGCCAGAATTTTAACACATGCAACACCAATGTGATGGCGGTTGTTATGGAGAGTATATGTGCATGCGTGCTTGATTGCTTTCTCTATTTTTGAAGAATTTTTGTACTGGCATGTCGCACTCGGCCTTGTCAATTGTCAAATTTGATGGAATTGATCAGTCCACATCTTATATATTTTGTTTGATTTCTTTGCCTTTGTGTTTTATTGGTGAATTTTGTGTTGTAGGCTTTAGGACTTAGACCTGGTGTTATTGAAGGTGCCATCAGTATCTCTGCTGTTCAGGTTCACTTTATTGTGTTCATTATCATTTTAATGATATTACTCTATAGGAGTTCTCTTCTTTGGATGTTAATGGAACTAATCTTCATTTGTAGCTACAGATTTGCTATACTCACACTACATAGTACAAAACGTAGCAAGTGGCAGTTGAGCTTCTGTATTTTTGGGGCTTATTTTAGACAATGAAACAAGACTTTACTTTTTCTTGTGAGGCTCAAGTAAAAGTGGGCTTAATCCAGCTAATATAATTTAGAAGATACATTAAGGTACTTGTGAGTGGATCTAATTAAAGTTTCTCCCAAGACTAGTTTTTTTAAAGAGGACTGATTATGTTAATATCCTTGGTAAGATCTTAGGTGAGACTGTTCTGCATAGTAAAGGAAGATACAATGTTTGTCACATCAAGTCATAATTAATTGTGCAATTACTTGAAATCTGTAAGCATGTGTCAGCAAATAAAATTTTCTTATTATTCTCAAGTTTCGGTGCATCAATCGGGAACTGGTGTCAATATGATAGATGGTGGGCTTTAGCACCGGTGTTCTGGTTAATTTATATATATGCAACATGTGGATGCAGACATGTCTTGCATGGTCTTTTACATTTAGATGCGGATGATATGGAAGTAAGTAATGTCTATTGTGATACCAGACTTATTTTGATAGATTTGGAAGGATTTGAGTGGTGTTACTTTGAACAACTATTTGTTTCTTTCTTTATGCTCTGAACAACTATTTGTTTATTCCCTAAACATGTAGTTTCTGGGTGAATACTCATCGGAGTAGATTTTATCTTTTTGTATAGTATTGACACCAATTGCCCAAAATTAATTAGACAAATTTTAGGGGTTAATGTCCTTAATTCTTAAAATAAAAATTTTAATATTTGATTGTATTGCATATAGACATTAGATAAATCAGTATTAATTGCACTAATTAAAGTTTTAAAAAAAATGAAGCAGAACCGGGCCGAGTCGACCCGGCCCATTAGTCCTTCCCCTAGCTGGGCCTGGCCCAGCCCCCCTTCTTTACCTCTCTTTTGCTTTTCCCGCTGGGTCCAGCCCACCCCTTTCTTCTTCATTCTTTCCCCAGCCTAGCCTAGCCTACCTTCCTCTCTCCTTCACATTGGACGCAGGACAGCCAGCGAGGAACCCGCTGCACCATGCGAAAATCAGCCCCGAAAGTCAAGGGGACAAAGCACAGGCTAGCGGAGCAGAGATTGAGTGGTGGAGAGCTGGCGGAGCAGGTAGCCTGCTGCCATAAAAGCCGAGGAAGAACATGGGAGAGAAGGGGGTCCGGTGAGGAACATTGAGTCGGGGCGAGAGAGAGAGACCGAGAGATATTGAGCGAGACAGAGAGCCGGAGAGCTTTTCCGGCGACCGTGGTGCTCGTACAGCGGCCATAAAGAGAGAGAGGAAGGGGAGAAGAGGAACAAAAAAAAAAAAAAAAAACAGAGGGGGGCATCGAGAAACAGGGGAAGAGCTCGGTTTGGAGAGAGAGACAGTCGAGAGAGAGAGCTCGAGTGTGAGACTGAGATCCTGACCGAGCGAGTGGCTACGCCTGAGCCCCGGCCGACGGCCCGAGGCCGACCCTTAACCCTTCCCTTCGGAGCGAGCTCACGGTAAGATTTTGGTTCGTTTTTTTGGATTTGGGGGTCGATTTTCCGAGGATCGCGGCTTGGCGGCGCACGAGGCGACTGGACATAATCTGATCTTTCAAGCTTGTCCTCATTCGCCGTCGCCGTGCCGAGTAGGGAGCTCCGTCGATCCCCCTGTTTCGCCTAGCCGTGCTCTGTTTTGGTGGTCTCGGCCAACCGGGACCGGGACTCGCTGGCATTCGGCCACACGTGGTTCCGAGCGTCGGCGAGCCTTCCCCAGTTGCCGTGGCGTGTTGTCGCGTTGTCTGCGTTGTTTGTTGGCGTCGATTCGAGTCCTAATCTGTCCTGCCTTGCTTTGTCGACAAGCGCCCGCCAAGCGTTTGCCAATATGCCTGAGTGAGTTCCGGTTTTGTGCTCTTTGTTTTGGGCCGGGGATGCCGGGGTCGGATGAGGAACAACGGTCTAGGTGGCGGAGTCGTCCTCGGAGTGGCTGTGTGGACGTCGGGCGTGGGCCAAGGGTGGCTGAGCTTTGGCCGATTTGAGACTCGAGCCGAGGTCCGGCTGGCGATGGAGGCTGGTCGAGCGGAGCTCGCGCCTACAACCTGGGTGGACCGAGGAGCCGCCGAGGCGCGCGTGCGGCCAGGCCGAGGTGGTCGGCGCCGCCCGTCTCGGCTGTCTCTGTCGCGGCCGTGAGGTGCAGAGACGCACGCGCAGGAGAGTCGAGTCCGCGAGAGGTAGAGGAGCCGGGTCTGTTGAGGAACGGGTCGGGTCGGGCGTGGAGATCCGACCCGGCTCTCTAGGGTTTTATTGCATGGGCTCTGAGCGTGTGGGCTGAATAATGTTTGGGCTTAGAGAATTGTGAGCCTGTTTTACATTTTAAATCAAATGTTGTTTGGGCTGAATTTAGTTGAATCAGACCGGGCCCAAAGTTGGTCCGAATTCCTGGCCCGACCCGGACCTATTGTCCGAGTCAGACCAGCAAATCGGATCGGGTCCATCGACCCGGATCCGATTATTGTTATATTATTATTTTTAATATTAAAATATTTTTTAAAAAATAATAATAACTTAAAAATTCGAAAAAATATATTTAAAAAAAATAGGAAATAGCCGAAAGAGCCAAAATAGCTAGACTTCGAGTAATTTTCCTTAAAAAATGTGAATCTTTCCAAAAAAAAAAGGTGTTCAAATTGAACAAGCCTTTAGAGTTATACCACAGGGTTCTGAATATCATAAAAATGAATGCATTGTCGTTATTTATGCAATTTATTATGATCATTTATCTGATTGCATGATTTCGATATTTTGAATGTCATATCTCTAATTAGGATTAGAATCCTAGGATACACGTTTATTTTGATTGCTAATCAATAATAATTGTGCATTTATTTGATCACCTTATATATTAGGAGATAGATTCTAAAATCAATTCAAACTGCTTGATAAATATTTTCTAAAATGAACAGAATGAAATGTTCCAAAATGGCACTAGTCGCTCAATTAATGTAACGAAGTCCCCAAACTCATTTAGGAGTAGAGTGATTCTCTTATCACCTTACTTGAGTTTTTAATTGACTCACCCCAAATTGATTAGTGACGACTCCTAGATAAAAATTATTTGCAGGTTAAAAACCTAAATCTTAAGTAGCGATATGGTATGGACTTGGAAGAGCCCGAGTTAAGTCCTGAACTTTGACTTAGCGCGTACCAGGCGAGGCTTCCATTTTTATTAATAAAAATTGGAGATCAGTCGCGACAGATTAGCGAC